CAATAATGGGCACAATGGCAAACACACATTAGATGAACAAGAAATAGTAGCCATTGATGTAGATACGTTATATAATTTATGTAATCATTAATAATAATTATCAATATAATCATTATTATCCTCATCTTTATCAGTATCATCATGATCATCATTTATCATCACATATTTCTTCATTAAAACTGACTATCTGAATTCAAGTAATATATTAAAATATATACTAGAATAATAAGTAACAATGCTCAAAAATACGTTAAGGGCGATGTCAATGGTAATGTAGTATCATGCTCGTCCTCACCTTGTGTTGAAGAATGTCTGCTGGCGCACCATACACATAACCAAGTAAGATGCAAAGAACCACGGACTGTATTACTTTGTCCATTTTGCAGTCTAAGGAAGAAATTAAAATGAACATAGTAATAGTGTTTCAGCAAACTAGGTTTCATATATTGTGGATCGAAAAATGCCATTCGGCAAACTGATGTGTTTCGTACAGGTCATTCCATTCATAGAAAAGCCTTTAATGGTGAAAGCGTACCTGTTATTAGCCGTAGTAGCCTAGGTCAATACATAACACCGGTTGTATAAAATTTATTATAAGATTGAAAATGTTAATCTTATTATTGTAGTAATGATACACTATGTACACGGTTTAGTTATTATTATTTATTCGTTAACGTTATTATATTAATATATAAATTCAATGTATTGTTTAAGTATGAATTACTATGTCCATGTTAAATTAATCTTATCTATTAAAATTGTATATTTAAATAATATAGTAATAGGCACTGATAGCCGAGGTCTAGCCTAGACTAGCCCTAAAAAATGAATATGTGAGTGTATAAAACTATGAAAATATGAAGAAAAAAAACGCAAAATTGTGAAAGAATAAAGGAAGAAGGAAGAATAGGAAAGAGATTTGGAGCGGCTGAAATATTTTCCGAAAATATACAATAGTAGTCAATATGCTATTATTGCATTTTTGGAGGCGTCCTTAGGAGGTCGGCTTTACACACAAGAACCAGAATCATGTTAATTGAACGTCTCTATCAATTTAAAAAACTCGTTGTAAATTAACAGTGCATTTGTTGTTCAGAGCATTTCTGCTGATTTTTTTTTCCAAAAGTAGTCTTGTATTAGAAGTCATTTTGTCATTTGTGGTAGCCACGGTCTCGAATTATATGGGTCTCAGAATCAGATTATGAGCTCAGTGTTCAAAGATAGGTGATCATTTGGTAGGTACTTAATGGTCGCGAAACTGGTCACGAATTGGAGTGGTTTCGGAATAAGAAGGGTTTTGAATTTGAATGTGAACTGTACTAGGATTGAGACAAATGAAATGTTAATGATTGAGAATAATTTAACTTGAGAATTATTAATAAGTCAGTGTACCGTCAATTTTTGCCACTAAAATGCTTTCGTTCACACATATTATTTTTTTGTAATAAATAGGGAGGGCGCACTAAGTCAAGCTTAAGGACAGACTCATAGCTAGAAAAATATACAGTTTGAACAAATAGTATTATGCCTACTATTATAATACGCCTCAGGGGTTATTTTCGGGAGTCTAGGACGCGCTATGGTGCTATTATCTCGATCCCCCTCCTCCTTTTTTGGTCCTCCTTTGGGACATCTCTGGATCCACCCCTGATACTCAAAATACGTAAAAGAAAAAGAAAGTAATACGTGTGAAATTATCATTAAATATGTGTGAAGACACGTTACTATATACACATTACTGAGATGATGATTATTATGTTAAATAATGATGATGATTATAATCATTCCGTTGTGGAATGAACTACTATAAGCGCGTCTTTACGGTTGCACGTAGTCACCAACCACGCCAAAAAGCAATTCAATACAATAACGCTGCAAGTTATAGGTTATTGTCCTACCTTTACCTTTACCTTTTCCTACCTTTACCTTTAAATAGCAGAAATAATAGGCCTATAAACATATAATTAGCAAAAGTAATGCACCTTCTATAATTAACTTAATATGCAGGCCCAGTAAAACTATAATTATATATACAGTATATGTAGAGTATAAATATATACAGTATATATACAGTATAGATATACAGTATATATATAATATATATATATACACACTATATATATATGTATATTATATATATTATATATATATATTATATATATATATATTGTAAACGTTAAAGTTTAAGTTCACACTATTGATTATTACTATACCTACATTTATACCTAGTTATCACATAGTAATAAGCCTAAATCGAGACAAAAACAATTGACATAAAACATGCCAGAACATTTCAAGCCCAAAATATATTTAAACTATTTCATTATTTAAAAAAAAAGAAAGAAAACTTACTTTAGGTAGGCCTGTGATGTCAGTTGGACTCTAGATTATCTGTCGTCGGCGAGTGAGTATGAAACCTGTGTCTTTTTTAGAGTCCGTCGGAGTATTTATATTCTTTTGTTGGGAGTAAGAATGCGGATGCACAAAGTTATAAACTTCTTGCACAGTAGGAAAACTTCTTAATATATTTTCCAGGGACCCATGGATTTGCAAAAAAAACTACATATCTCACTTTCCCAGGGAATAATTAAGTTGAAATCCCGAGCAGTGATTGGCTGAGTTGTGAGATGATAGCCCCAAGCTCACTACTGTCATTCAACAACAAGTTTACTCCACATTCCTTTAGAATTTTAGATTTGATAAAGTGAACCAAGTGTTTTTCCTTATAAGGAGAATGTTGATGGAAATTAAAAAAATAAATAAATAAATAAAGACATACATGGTAACGTAATTGATGGTGGTGGTAATATAATAATAATAATAATAATAATAATAATAATATTAATAATAATAATATTAATAATAATAATAATAATAATAATATTAATAATAATAATAATAATAATAATAATAATAATAATAATAATGGTTATTACAATGGAAAAGACAGTGGGAATCGCGATATAACGATACTAATATAGATTACTGCAGTATAACGATAACAAGGGAAATAACGAGGGAAATAGCTATAAGATGGTTATTCGTATGTATACATTCATATACTAACACCTATAAAGGGACACTTGGGCCGTCCATTGATTTTCTTTTATAGGTCGATTAGACTATGGTATGTGGGTCACTAGAACCATAGTTAACTAGTGTCCTTACCCCTTGATGCATAGTTTGATAAGGGTATGTTGTGGGTCACTTAGTGGAGTAAAGCCCCATACCCCAAAATGCATAGTTCCTTTAGGCATACGTTTTATTTTTTGTCTTATGTTTTTGTATGCCTACTGTATTGTGTTTAAGCGGATATTAGACCTTGATCGCTCATGAGTCAATACAAGTTGAATTAAATTTAATTGAAATTGTTTTTTACGAACTAACGTACGCAGTAGGCCTAGTATTCCGATGTCCATTTTAAGGATCAATCAATTCCTATTTAGCTTAAAAGTTTGCAAAATTAAAAATTTGAATGAAAATATATTATTTCAAATTTATTGTAGTTGTTGTGATAAAATGTTGTCCTGTAGCAGGAGATTTATTGTGCTGATTTTACCATTGGCACATTTAAAAATGTCCCCATACCTTGAAAAGGGTGTCTATAAAAGTAGTCAGTAGTCGTAGCGTTCAAAACTAAATTCACCTTCGTTTCAAGAAAACGTATCTGCAAAAAAATTGCCCCCTAAGTAGAATATTCCTAAAAGAGGATTCTATCTTATTTTAAATTCCATGGTTTGTCTTCAATACTAAAAGAACCCACTTCATAAGACAAAAAATTTTGTAATTGGTGAGTTTTGATATTTCATAAACCAAGAAAAGCAATAATACCATTGAGTTGGTAATGCTAATGGTAATGTTAAAAGAAATGTAGAAAAATGTTTAATGCTAGTTAGTCAACGGTCATAATAAGGAAGTCAGTGCTAACATCATGCCAGATGACAGCTATAAGCTAATGATTAATGAGATTTACTCAGACGGGAAATCCCCTAAACTGTGTATGACGTATTCATGCTGCACAGTCGTACTGGTACCCCACGCGTAGCCTCCATATTTTGCCGGGACTTTAGAGCAGCGTTGATAAATACTAAGATTTATGATGTGAAAATCATATGTTAAACGATGTTAGTTAACCTTAACGGTCATAATAATTATCTAGATGCCAACATCACGCCATAATGTGACAAGTAGAAGCAATGATTTAGACGACAGCTGGTACCCAAACGGGAAATCCCCTAAACTGTGTATGATGTTTTCATGCTGCGCAGTCGTACCCCACGTACAGTAAGTAGAGCCTGTTTTGACAGGTCAAGCTCGCTAGTCAGAAGGTTTGCTATTCATAACGTTCATTATTCATAAGGGTCGTTATTCATAACATTAGCTTACCCTATACCAAAGGGTCGTTATTTATAATAAAGAAAAGGGTTCACTATTCATAAACGAAAAATAAGGACCGCTCTTCATAAGGTTCGCTAGTCATAATAAAAAAAAAAAAGGATTCGCTTCTCATAACATAAATAAAGGACCGTTATTCATAAGGTTCGCTATTCATAATAATAAAAAAAAAGAGGCAAAAAAAGGGGGGGGGGGGGTTCGCTATTCATAATAAAAATAGAGGTTCGCTATTCTTAATAAAAAAAAAAAGAGGTTCGCTATTCATAATAAAAAGAAGGGTTCGCAATTCATAATACAGAAAACGTTCACTAGTTAATAATTTAAAAAAAGGTAATAAATCAATAAAAAAAAAATAAAGGTTTGTCATAATAAAAAAGCTAATTATAGTTTGAAAAGAAAAATGGTTTACTGGTCATTACAATAAGAGTGAAAGCTAGTCATAATCCTGCATTTCAAATTCACCCCCACATAACGACACTCCCCTGCACTCCGCCCGGCACAATTTTCCTCATTAAACCACCACCCTCTTTATTGTCATTCCTTGAGTTCTTTTGGTTTTAACTGTATTTGTTTATTGATAAGCCTAATGTCAATAAATAAAGTGTACATAGTCAGTTATAATTATACGCTTTTTCATTTCACGTGAAATGAAAACTACAGTAAAAAAAATATATTAATCAAGTGAAAACAATTCTAAATACTACGTAACATCAGGTCTCTTATACACATCTAGATGTGTATAAGAGACAGGGTGTGGTGAGCATTGTTTAAATATAGACTTTATTTTTTATATTTTGTAAATTTATATATTTACATTTTAAATGTTTCGGATGTTTAAAAAAAAATCCGTTTGTTGACTTCCTATTATTTAAAGAGTTATTTAAAGAAGTATTACAATGAAATTTGTACTAGCGTTGGGGCTCCTTTTTTTAATTATGAATAGCGGATCTCTTTTATTATGACTAGCGAACCTCTGTTTCTATGACTAGCGACATCTTTTATTTATTATGACAAGCGAACCTCTTTTTAATTATGAATAGCGAACTTTTTTTATTATGAATAACGAACCTCTTTTTTTTCTTATCATGAATAGCGAACCTCTTTTTTTATTATGAATAGTGAACCTCATTTTTTTTTATTATGAATAGCGAATCTTATGACTAACGGTCCTATTTTTCTATTATAAATAATGAACTCTATCCTTGATTATGACTAATGAACCCTTTATTATGAATAGCGAACCTGTTGTTCTATTATAATTAGTGAACCTTATAAATATTGAGCTTTATGAATAGTGGACTTTAAAAAAAAATTATGAATAGTGAACCTTATAAACAATATTGTCTTTATAACTAGCGGACCTTATGAACAGTGGACCTTATAAATAGCGAACCTTATAACTAGCGAGTGAACCCCCTTTCGGGTGTAGTGTTCAGTGGCGTAACGCCTATAGACTCTCGCGGAAGAAGCCCAAAAGCCTCAGTACAAAGGGGTCCCGGGGCCCGGTTACCCCTTCCTACTAACACTCGGGATTCTACCAGAGCCTTTACACTCAAAGTAGTAAAAGTACACCCAAAATATAGCGATAAAACCATGTAATTTCTGTTAACCACAAATTTTCAACGGTCTTGTGATTGCCGATTCCACCACACGTAAAGTAGTGAATGTTTCGGTCCAAATTTATAGTTATTATCTTATCATATTATCATCATATTATCAATCATCATCTTTATTAACATAACCATTTTCATAATCATCATAATCTTAATCACCATTATTATGAATCCTTTTAATTTCACGTCTTTACATTGCCGTGTTACAGTACACATTATTTGTTTTAAATATTTTCTTTTTATGAATGCACCTCCACTGA